TCGGCATTTTTTTTTTGAATGGCACATAGCCCTGATAGCCAGATGTTTCTGCTTAAAGTTCATCCCCAGCTCCGTCTGAGACCAGCCAAGCAGAACTCAGGAGTGCCAACCCTGAAGAAGATTAGTAGCTGCTCTTTCCTTCAGAGCCTGCTGGCCAGCGCTGTTGCCATCTTGGGCTCATTGAAGCTGAGGGATTGCACCGATCATCCAAGGAAACAAAACCGCTATTCTCTGCAGGCTCCGCGCCCGCAGCCAGACAGCCGGCAGCTAAAAGCAACCCTGGGGCTCAGACCTTCCCCTGTCAGAGGGCGCCCTTGGGGAGCATGCCGGGCAACCGAGAACTCTCCCCCTGCCTGATCCTGGGGGGTGGGGGGGAGACGCCCCCTCCGCCCTACCACCCACCAACACCCGCGCTTAAATGTCAAGTGAGAAACGAAGCCCATTTGGCCCGCAGACTGGAAAGCCTGGACCGCGTACTTCCCGATTCACTTTCATTAACTTTCTGGAAAAAAGGCAACAAACCCAAGCAACATGTGCTAACAGCCCCCACGGCCTGGGCCTGCTGGGGAGCGGGGGGTGGGGGGTGGGTTTGCATTCCTTCCCTGGGGAATCAGCTTCAAGTCTAACCTTTTATACCAGGGGCCTGGCCGGGGGCATTTCTGCCACCTGATTGGAGGCTAGAGGCATTCAACACTTAGCCCATAGAGCAATTCGAAGCAGAATGAAGTCAGATGGGTCCAGCTGCTGATTCTGGGTCTGCCATCCTCCCCTTTTTATATCCCCCCCCCCCTCTCTCCATAGGAAAGGGGCCTAAGTCAGGGCATCATTTCTGAGTTGAGACCAGCAGGATGAGAAGTTTGCCAAGCAGACAAATTGGGCTGGGAAGCGTGTTCTGGCCCAAAGCGCTGAGCGCCTAATGTGATTAGGGGATGACAACTGGCTGGCCACTGCTAGGAGCCACAGGCAGGGTGTGGTGAGGGAGGGGCTGCCCTGGAACCCAGGCCCACTGCGAAAGGCTCGGATTCTGAAAGGCTGACGTTTTGTGCTGCAGACGAGGATTTCGCAAACTTGAGACTTTTTTTTTTTTTTAAAGCTCTTTTTTTAAAAAAATATATTTTATTGATTTTTTACAGAGAGGAAGGGAGAGAGATAGAGAGTTAGAAACATCAATGAGAGAGAAACATCGACCAGCTGCCTCCTGCACATCTCCTACCGGGGATGTGCCTGAAACCCAGGTACACGCCCTTGACCGGAATCGAACCTGGGACCTTTCAGTCCGCAGGCCGACGCTCTATCCACTGAGCCAAACTGGTTTCGGCAAGAGACTTTTGACATTTGGGGCTGCATCACTTTATGTTGGGGGCGGCGGGGAGGACCGTGCTGGGCACGTTGGGTGTGTAGCAGCATCCCTGGCCTCTGCCCACTAGATACCGATGGGCAGTCTCCCATGTGACTTGCTGGTCCCATAGGGCAGCCATAGGGCAGTCCTGGGCACAGGCTGGGATGGACAGAACAGTCCCCGATGGTGTGGGGCTGTGGCCAGGCAGCCAGGGCCCGTCTCCCTCACTGTGCACCTTCGGGACTGGCCAGTGGCTCAGGCCTTGGGTGTCCTCCCTGACCGATGGCGTCTTCCCTGGCCCCGGCCCCGTCCTCCTGGCAGGCGCGGCGTCCTGCACCTCCACGAGAGCGGCGGCATTCACGACATCGGCCTGCCCCAGTGGCAGCTCTTGCTCTGCCTGATGGTGGTGGTCGTCGTCCTGTTTTTCAGCCTCTGGAAAGGCGTGAAGACGTCAGGAAAGGTAACGCCTCTGTTTCGCGTTCAGTCGGCCTCAAAACAATTCATTTTTTCTCGCTGCAACTGTTAGTCAGTGAGAAGAAAAGGTGGGACGGGACGCACAAAGCCTGGGTTTGCTCCCAGCTCCGCCCCTGTCTCCCTGGGAGACCTCGGACAAGTCCCTTCCCTTCCCCAAGCCCCGGCTCCCCAACAGGAGGGGGTGGCCTCCAAGCAGACGAGGGCTCCCACACGTTTCCACCCAAGCTCCTTTCAGGGACTTGGGGATGGGACACCCCAAGGGCCTTGGGGACAAGCCCGTTGGTCGCCGGCCACAAAAAGCGACCTATTGACCTGTGTTTGATGGACCTTGAATTCTGGGCTGACGCTTCATGCACATGTTCCCTCCTACTTCTGGCTTCGCTATAAAGCCAGTCATTCCCCCTTCTGGGTTTTTTAGTAAAAGAGAATGCTCTACCTTCCTAATGCCGAGACCCTTTAATATAGTTCCTCATGTTGTGGTGACCCCCAACCATAAAATTATTTTCGTTGCTACTTCATAACTGTAATTTTGCTACTGTTATGAATAGTAATGTAAGTATCTGATATGCAGGATGTATTTTCATTGTTACAAATTGAACATAATTAAAGCACAGTGATTCATCACAAAAACAATATGTAATTCTATATGTGTTTTCCGATGGTCTTAGGCGACCCCTGTGAAAGGGTCGTTCAACCCCCAAAGGGGTCTCGACCCACAGGTTGAGAACCGCTGGGCTAGCTAGTAACAGAGTGCATTGCACACAGTATAAGGAAGTGCTGCCTGGCGGACCTGGTGTTTTAGCAGAGCAGCTATATGTCTACGTGTATTTTGTCTCAACACAGAAGGTATTTCGTACCATGAGGCCTCATGGTCACAGAAATGTAAGAGGCTGCATCAGTGGAGGAAGGAAATTCTTTCTACCGAGAGGGTCTGCAAAGACCCCGGGGAAGGTGGCGTCTGGGCTGGGTCTCTAGGGACAGGTGTAGGTGGAGACAGGGTAGAGGGAAGGGGTTTTCAATGGGTGGAACAGCCTGAGCAAAGGCAGAGGTGCGGAGGTCCAGGCTGGCCTTGTTCGGCCTCTCAGTGCCTTTCCTGGGCAGCAGGGGAAGGGCTGTCCTGGCCTCCGCAGGTGGAAGAGCTGAAGGTGTAGGAGCCTCACTATTGCCGCTGGCCTGGGGGGTGGGCGGGGCGGCACCCCAGGCTTCTAACGCTGCATTGCACCCCCGTAGATTAAGTTCCCTCCAGCCATGCCGGAGGGGTAGGGCCTGCCCCACCCAGTTTAGCACTTGGCCAGGGCGGAGCGTGAGTTGTCTGCAGGGAGAGTGATGCTGAAGGGAGGAGGAGCTGAGCGTGCTCGGTCCCTCTCCGCAAAGGGACCTCCGGAGGAGTCATCACCCCGGTGGGAGTCACGAGGGGTGGCTCCCGAGAAGCCCCCCACGTGGAAACACGTCAACAGAAGCCACAGCCCCCATTTGCGTCAGGGCCCCAGCCTGTGGGGAGGGACTGCACACAGGATATTCCCGTGCCTTGTCTCTAATTGTTTTCATAAACCTCTGGCTCCGGAGACAAACAAGAGCGAGCGTTGCTTATTCCTTCCAGATTGCTTCTGGAACAGGACTGAGAGCTTTCCGTAGCTCCCCCACAGCACAGAGCAGCCCGAAATGAATTGCACATGTTCACACTTCCTGCCTTGGCACGTGCAAGCTCCGTGCCTGGGAAGATGTGTGCTCCATTGCCCGCATGTGGGACGGTGGGGGGAGGGTGCCCTCTGATCCAGGGAAAGAGGTTCCCCCAGACCACACACTCGGTGACCTTGACCCATGGGCCACCTCAGGGCAGAGGGTGGAGGTCTGAGTCAGGAGGTAGCCCCCAGGGAGCCGGGCTGGCCATCCGGGGTCCTGCCTGCCTCCCCATCTCACAGCCCTTGGCTGACCTGGCTCTTTGCAGCCACAAGCCTAGGAAGCCGGCACCAAATGTGGACCTAGAAGATACTTAGGGGCCACCTGTGCCCATCTGCTTGTAGAAATGGGGAAATGGGGGTCGAGAGAGGGACGGGGGGTTCAGAGCGATCCTTAGCAGGGCCAGAGTGAAACCTGGGTCTCAGATACACAGTTGAGTGAGTGATTGAGCACGTGGTCTGGTGGTCAGACGGCCTGGGCTGGAGTCCAGGTGCTATCACTTCTCCTGGGTGACCTCAGGGTGAGTGATGCTCCCTCGGCTTTAGTGTCTCCAGCTGCAAAGTATTGATCGTGCCGGCCTCTGGGGCGGTTGGGAAGATGGAGTGAGGGGTCCCCAGTGCAGGGCTGGCAGATGGAAGCTGCTCAATAAATGATCCTTGTCTCTCTTTGTCCCTGTCATCAGTCCCCTTGCCAGTGCTCAGTGTGGTTTTTTTTATATTTATTTAAAAGTATTATAAATATATTTTTATCGGTTTCAGAGAGGAAGGGAGAGGGAGAGAGAGAGAGAAACATCAATGATGAGAGAGAATCATGGATTGGCTGCCTCCTGCACGCCCCACACTGGGGATCGAGCCCACAACCCGGACATGTGCCCTGGCCGGGAATTGAGCCATGACCTCCTGGTTCATAGGTCGACGCTCAACCACTGAGCCACGCCGGCCGGGGCACTTTGGGGGATGGGAAAAGTCAGAACACCCTCTCCACTTCTGGCAAAGTTACGGGATCAGAGGGAGAGAAAGCTGAACCAATTCAAAGCAATCCTGAGTTCTAGAGTCTTTAAAGGAAAGATCCTTTTTGTTAACGTTTGACTTCAAGTCGTAATCCTAGCCAAGTCTTCTCACTAATTTGTCAGCACGGGCTGGCCTGGCTGGCTTTAGTGACCCTGGGATCCCGTTACGATGAATAGCATCATTTGCGTAGGAACGATGAATGGGCTAAAATATTTACAGCTCAGCGTTTTCTTTTTTTTTTTCCTCAGCCCGCCACTCCCCACCACACCAACCCTTCCCACCCTCAGCATTTTCTTAAGTAACATCAGTGTGTTCCCCTCACCCCATGAATCTTAGGATGTCTTCATTGTTAGTGCAAATGTCCCTAAACCCCAGTTCAGGGGATCACCAATGAGAAATCACTGGAGGTTTGTGCCGCGCCAGCACGGCCAGGGGTGAACCTGAGTGGGGGCGGCTGAAAGGCCTAGAAAAGACAGACAAGAGAATGAAAGCCGGGTCTCGGTGGGACGCTGCTTCTCTGAGAGACAGCGACGCCGCCCACAAGCCGTGTCTTTATTTTATAGCAGATGCCACGAGGCAAAGTAAGGGCGTGACCAAGATGTTTACAACATTCTCCTGGGTTTCAATCCTACTCAACTATATGCACCTGAACTCTATCAAGCCCACATCACTCAGGCACATGGGGCCACGTGTTCGGACCATAGGTTCAAGCTCACAACTACAGCTGTTGGCTATAATTGTGCTGGGAGGGCTCTGCCCTCCAAGCTGGGACTTGCACGTGGCCATGAGAGGACTGTGCCCTCATCAGTCCAAGGCTTGAACCTGTCAAAACTGTAGCTTGTATCATCTCTGTCTTAGGGGAGACCTTAGAGGTGACCTTGAGCAGTGCTTCTCAACCTTTAGTGCTCATAAGAATCACACGGAGGGCTTGTTAAAACTCACATGCCCGGGTCCCTCCCTGAGAGTGATTCTGTGGGGACGAGGTGGGAATTGCATTTCTGACGTGCTCCTGGGTGCTGTTGCTGCTGCTGGTGCAGGGGCCTCACCTTACGTGGTCGGCAAACTGCGGCTCGCGAGCCACATGCGGTTCTTTGGCCCCTTGAGTGTGGCTCTTCCACAAAATACCGCGTGCGGGCGCACGTACAGTGCGATTGAAACTTCGTGGCCCATGCGCAGAAGTCGGTTTTCGGCCTGGGCGAGTCTATTTTGAAGAAGTACTGTTGATATTTGGCTCTGTTGACTAATGAGTTTGCTGACCACTGCCTTAGGCGATCCTTTGCCTCATGCCTGGATCCGAGCAAGGCTTACACACCTGCAATGACAGGGACCTCAACCCCTTCCCGGGCAGCTCATTTCCTCCTTAGAGAGCTCTGTTCGTTAGAAAGCTCTTCTTCTTAAGGAGCCAAGATCTTCCTCATTGGGAGTATCAGCCATTGAGTTCGGCACCCTGGAACCATGCAAATTCTAACCTGTATCCACAGAAACACAAGGGTGGAGAAGAATTGGGATTTGAGGGGATAGAGAGTAGGGTCTTCCCCTGGGGCCTGATGACTCTTGCCAAAACCAATGGGCCCCTCATTGTTCTTTTCATCTCATGCTCAGAGATAGACCAAGTCTGGCTTCCCGTGGCCAGAGAGTCACTGCACGTTGCAAATCTGGGAGCAGAGGAGCCTGGGGTGGGGCTGACACAGCCCAAGGGCCCCCTCCCCTCCCCCAGCGTGCAGACAGGGCGCACGTGAGCATGAGCGAGCTATTGGCCAAGGATCCAAGAGCCTCCCCCTCAACACAAGCTCTTAGGCAGCAGAACGCCCCTGCCATTGATCCTGAGAACTTTCAACAAGACTCCGATCGTTGACTTGGAACACGTGTGCGTGGGCAAAGCTTCTTGATGCTTGACTGCAGTCGGACTCAGCTTAGTCATGCCCTGGTGTGTTCCTGGGGAAACTGAAACCATGTTGGAGCCTCAGGCAGGGCCAGTGCAGGGCTGCCTCCAGACCCCAGGGGAGATTCCTCAGAGTCAGACGAGGGATGTGGTGGTCTGGTGGGTGGAGTGGTGTTTGGCTGGGCTGGGTAGTGGACCTGCAGCTGTTGACATGAGTTATAGGGGAACACAGCAGTTAGGACCCAGCGAGGATATCTGAGGGCGCTCCTTGCGCCTGTCACCGAGGAGTTAGGTCAATTTGGGAGAATAAATCCAGGACTGGTGTGAGGCCGTCCAGATGCAATGACTTCACTTTCTAAGGCATGTTTTCCTCCTCGTTTGTTTTTTGGCAATTTGTTCTCCTTGTTCCTACGCCCCTGAGGGAAATCTAAAGCCTGTATCTGCAAAGACCCCCCATGTTGCAAGGGAGGGATGGGGGAACAACTGGATAACTTGAAACAGAGGAGCCTAATTCCTCTATTGATTCCCTCAGAAGATATAAACAACCACTGATTCACTTAATTACTCCGAGTCATTTGTTTATTTATGCATTCGTTGACTAACTTAGTCATTCACTAACCCTCTGATGTATTACTGACCCACTCACTCATCTATCTACCCACTCAACCATGTACTCACTTAACCATCCAGCTATCTACTTAACCGTCTACCCAACTGTCTATTCAACCATCCACGGCAGGTCGTGTGGATCACGGCCACGCTGCCTTACCTGGTGCTGTTCGTGCTCCTGGTCCACGGCATCACGCTGCCTGGCGCCTCCAACGGCATCAGCGCCTACCTGCACATCGACTTCTACCGCCTCAAGGAGGCCACGGTGAGCACCCACGGGGACCACCGCCCGAGGCCAGGACTGGGGAGGCTCCTTGGGGAAGGCAGCCACAGGAACTCTGGCCCCAGCTTCCTGTCTGGGCTGTGGCTTCTCCACCTGACGGTGCGGATTGGATTTGCACCTGCAGGTCTCCACCAGCCCGCCCATCTCCGATGGCTGGGATTCTGTGGTTCTATTGGGGGGCCTTTGTAGACCCCTCTTTTCAAGGGAATGATGCTCTGTCCTGGGGGTTACCTCTACCCTGTGCCATGGCCCTCCAACCCACCTAGACACCCCAGTCCTATTTCCATCTCTAGTCCCCAGCGCTAGCCTTTGCCACCAACCCATGATGACCGTGTCAGGGGCAGCATTAGCCACAGGGACACCTAGACCCCCTCCTCCCCACAGAAGCCTGGACAAGATAACCAGGCATAGAGGCCGGGATCTCTCTAGCACAGCGGTTCTCAACCTGTGGGACACGATCCCTTTGGCGGTCGAACGACCCTTTCACAGGGGTCACCTAAGACCATCCTGCATATCAGATATTTACATGACGATTCATAGCAGTAGCAACATAACAGTGATGAAGTAGCAACGAAAATAATTTTATGGTTGGGTCACAACACGAAGAACTGTATTTAAAGGGCCAGAAGGTTGAGAACCACTGCTCTAGCACAAGGGCCATTTGGGTGTTTATCATTCGCAGACCATACAAAATTATCAGCTTAAAATGTAGCCTGCTATACTCGGTCACCTCACCCCAATGCCTTGGCAGGGCCAGACCAAATGATTTCGAGGGCCTTATGCGACCTGTGGGCCGGATGTTCCCCACCCCCTGGGTGGTCATGAGGAAGCTGACCCTGGAGGAACTTCATTTGATGTCCTGATTGTAAAGAACGTTAATACACTAGCCGTTGCAGGCTGTGTAGATGGAGTGAGGGCAAAGGGCCAGGACCCTCTCAGGGGTTATGGGGATGGCATCTTCAGAAAGGGCATATGCTTCCTGGCAGCTCCTGCCAGCCCACACAGGGGTGACTCCTGGGGCCGGTGGGGTTTTACTTCTTCCATCTTTTGAGTGATGACAGCACATGGCTGGAAGCCTGGAGATCTGAGCCAGCTCCGATCGGAGATCTGCTGCCATCGCCATTCAGACCTCATTTCCCTGGGTCTCAGAGCATCCCTTCGGGGGCAGGGAGAGGGTCCCGTCCTCGCGGAAGCAGCGGGTGATGGCTTTTGTCTGCTCGTCTCAGGTATGGATTGATGCTGCCACTCAGATATTTTTTTCCCTGGGGGCTGGATTTGGAGTCTTGATTGCATTCGCCAGTTACAACAAATTTGACAACAACTGCTACAGGTAAGACCCTTCTTGCGGCTCTGAATCTGGGGATGGACGGTGGCAGGGATGGGAGACGGGGCTCTGGGCTGGGACAAGTCAACTTTTCTTCTGGGATTTCTTCCTCCGTGAAGTGACCACCTGGGTGTTCCTGAGCACCAACATGGCCAATGGGCACCTCTGATGAAGCAGATGCTGGGGGAGAGGAGGAGAAAGCGGAAGCCACTAGTGCTGGGATGGGGAGCTGGGACAGAGGGACACTACTGCGTGGCTTTCAGAGCAGGCAGCACTGTCTGTCTGTCCATCTGATGCCCAGGCAGGCAAGGATGGGATGTCTAGGCTGGTTGCATGAGCGGTGAGTGCCTGGTGGGGCATCAGAGTCCGCACGTGGGCACACATGGGGCCTCCATTGCTCTCTGTCAAAGGCTGAGGACAGAACCACAACCCCTCTAGGACTAGGCAGGGTGGGATGACTGGGTGCCCGGGGGGCAGGCTGTAGGAAGGCTAAGGAAATGTGTGATCCGCCTTCTGACGGGGGATTAGCGAGAGCGTGGAGGACAGGGCTGTGACAGGCAGACTCGGGATGGGTGGCATGCATGAAGGGGATGCCATCCCCCCCCCCCCCAAGCAAAGCCAGGGAGGTGATAGCTTGTGGGCCAGCAAGTTGACTGGTCGACTTGTCTGAAGAGTGTGTCTCAGGGGCTCATGGGACATGAGCCTGCAGGAAAGCTTGGCTCATCTTAGCTCCCGGGTGCCTGGGTGAGAAGTGGGGAGACCCTGGGGAGCCGTGGGAAGTCAGCTGAAGGAGATGGTGACTCAGTTCCCCAACAGGAATTTGATTCCAGACTTTGGTCTCAGAATATTTCATCCAGAAGCTGTTGACCTATCCCTGCACCTGCAGGTCCTCACGCAACGAGGGCAGGGCCCTGGGGCCTATGGGCCAACAAGGCCACTGGAGGCGTCGGAAGCTGCAGAGCCCATAGGTGGCCCAGTGGTCCCTGAGCAGCGTCGGGAGAGCCAGGTGACTTGAACTAACAGGGATTCTTCCCCCCCCCCCCCCCTAGGGACGCCCTGCTCACCAGCACCATCAACTGCGTCACCAGCTTCGTCTCGGGGTTTGCCATCTTCTCCATCCTCGGGTACATGGCCCATGAGCACAAGGTCAACATCGAGGACGTGGCCACTGAAGGTGGGTGGGCAGACCGAGCACGCGGGGGGAGCGGGGCTGGGGAACTCACCTCACTCTGCAGGCTGTGGGACTGAGGGCTGGACGCGGAGGTTTCCAAACTGCCCACGTGACGGACCCTCTTGCATGCCCACGTGACGGACCCTCTTGCAGTCTGTCCATGGGAATCCCAGGCAGTCCCGGGCCCTGCGGGTGTGGCAGGACCGCCCTCTGAGTGCCTTGCAGCCGGACAGCTTTGGGAGCATCCGCTCTGTGCCAGCAGCCCCCGTGCTGAGCACTCGACATGCCTCCATTCAGTTCTCCCACGTGAGAGTGTGAATAGACCCACTTTAGAGATGAGAAAGCTGAGACCCAGGCTAAGTTGCCCCAGGTCACCCAGCTGGCCAGGCCAACCCAGGGGCCTGTGTCCTTTCCTCCTGTTTCCCATATTCTCGTGGCCACAGAGGAGCTGAGGCCTGGGGAGGGGCTGCCTCTAGTGGCCCCTGCGGAGCTTGTGAAGTAAGAGGCTCGCTCAGGGCAGGCAGGAGGAGGGTGCGAGGCGCTGCCCTCTGGTCTGGCTGCCGGGGGCCTGCCTCCCTGGTGCCTGGTGAACTGCAGGCCAGGGCTGGCCTCGTCTGTCAGCTCACACAGGACGGACCAGGTGCCACGGGCTGGCCTGGGGCCCACGGGGCCTTCGAACGCTCTCCGCCCACCTGCAGCTCAGACCCCCTTCCCAGCAGTGCTGAGGCCTGCGTGTTTCTTGCAGGAGCTGGCCTGGTCTTCATCCTGTACCCGGAAGCCATCTCCACCCTGTCGGGGTCCACCTTCTGGGCTGTCGTGTTCTTCATCATGCTCCTGGCTCTGGGGATTGATAGCTCAGTGAGTGACCCTGCTCAGGACCCGCCCCCAGCACACACACACACACACACACACACACAGAACTCAGCCTGAAGTCCCACCATTCAAACTCCTAATTAGCAGTCCGGCCCAGAGGCCCTATTTAAATGCAAACAAGGAAGTGAGCCCTCACTCAGAAAGGCAAGATGTACATAGGCCAAAGCCAATAACCAATAGAAACCCATTGCATCCTGGGAATCAGTGACCACCGATGGGCCAGCCCAACCGCCCTCCCCCACCCCATGCAGACAGGACCCTGAATCAGGCGGGTCAGGGCGCCTCCTCCCAGCCAGGCTCCTCCCGTGACTGTTCTGTCACCAGCAGCCGGCACAGGCACATGGGGCCTCCTTCTCGGCTCAGAGCCTTTGTTTTACGCACCTGTCGGATGAGACCGCCTGCCCTCCTCAGAGACCTGTGTGCTCCTGTAGGGTCAAGCCTGGCGTTTGCAAGAAGTCTCAGAGTGGGGCTGGCCAAGGGGTTTCCTCTCTCTGCCTGTCCGTGGGGACATCGCGGGGCAGGGTGCTGAGAAGGGTTCTGAGGAAGGAACCCTGATTTCCCTGAGCAAATGCCTGCCGAGGGGCGAGAGGCAGGCCCGTGGCTGAGCGTGGCCTGTGTGCACCTGTCTGCCCTCCCGGGTCGGTGTCACTTAGGCAAACACGTGATTGTGACTCATTTGAGGCCATAGAATACATGTGCCCATAGCTGTGGGCTAGGAGACGCCCTCTCGCTGAGGGTGGAGCTGGAGGTGACCACTCGGCCAGAACCCCCGGCAGAAGCTCTGCCTGAAGTCCCAGCTCTGGGGGCTCCCCACTGGGGGCCGTCTCCTCCAGGAGACCCCGTTGGCATGCAAATACCTTGCCTGGGGGTTGGGCATTTTACTTCGTTCACGCTCCTGTGGGCTCATCAGAACCCCCGGGGCTGAGTGAGGGGCAGGAGACAGGGGCCGTCGATTAGGGGAGACGGCACTAGCTAACTCTGCACCCACCCCCCTTCGTGTCTGAGTCCTGAGTTTGGTTGGAAGGGGGCAGAGTGGGTGAGAGGCTGGGGAGAGGGCAGTGCCTGCTGATTTCCCCAGAGCGGCCAGGCAGTCGGTGGGAGACCCCGGGAGGCCCCAGGGCGCCCTCCTTCCCGCGCCCACCCTGCCGGGCTCCCTGCAGATGGGAGGCATGGAGGCCGTCATCACGGGCCTGGCCGACGACTTCCATGTCCTGAAGCGACACCGGAAGCTCTTCACATTCGGCGTCACCTTCGGGACCTTCCTCCTGGCCCTGTTTTGCATAACCAAGGTGAGTGGGGCTGCGCTGCTTGGGTGCTGCTTTTCCCTGCGGTCAGACATTCCCAGCCTCATGGGTGGGGCCAGGTGAGCTCAGGGCGGGGCCAGGCACCCTCAACCCCGTGGCCCGACCCCTAGGGTGACACTCCCCTCTGTCGTCTCCCACCTCTGAGCCCGAGGACCTCCAGGCACCCCTGGTGTGAGCAGCAAAAGTCCCTTGACACCCACCTCGCTCTTTCTGGCTGAAATACCCACCGTCAGGCCCGTGACTCCGAGGGCCTTTGTCGGGACGCAGATACGTAACATCAGTACAGTAGCACCCAGCCCTGTCCCCCGCGTCCTCACACGGGGCTCTGAGCAAGAGGGGCAGGGGACGGGGACGGGTGTGTGGTGATGGACGCAACCGTTGGTGGCCATTGCCAGCCGTGGCCTCAGGCGTCCTCCCTCCCTGCCCAGGGCGGAATCTACGTGCTGACGCTGCTGGACACGTTCGCGGCGGGCACCTCCATTCTGTTCGCTGTGCTCATGGAGGCCATCGGCGTCTCCTGGTTTTACGGTGCGTGCTGGGCCCCGCGTTCCTGCAGACTTCTCGCCCGGGCGCAGAGGGCCTTCCGTTGCCATGGCGGCCCCTGGCCGGTGGCTCATCTTTGCATGAACCCCCTTCAGCAGGTGCTGCAAAGGCCCGAAGGCATCCAGTGTCCACTTTGAAAGAGGAGCTCCAGGGGGGGCGTGTGGCTCCGCTGGCTGAGCCTCATCCATGCTCTGAGAGGTCACTGTTCCGTTCCCGGCCAGGGCACATGCCCGGGTTGGTGGCTCTATCTCTGGGAGGGGGCGTGCAGGGCAGCTGATCGATGTTTCACTCTCACACACACACACACACAAAATCAATAAAAAATATTTAAAAATAAAAATAAAAAGTCAAGGGGAACTGGAGGAAGCGGCTGCTCCACAGGTAACTCATTCTAGAGCAGGGCTGTCAGATCCAGCAAACTGAAGGCAAGGGGCCCAGTTCGACTTGAGTTTCAACGCTGTGTGATTGTGCCCGTGTCTGTCCTAGACCAGTGATGGCGAACCTTTTGAGCTCGGCGTGTCAGCGTTTTGAAAAACCCTAACTTAACTCTGGTGCCGTGTCACATATAGACATTTTTTGATATTTGCAACCATAGTAAAACAAAGACTTATCTTTTTGATATTTATTTTAGATATTTAAATGCCATTTAACAAAGAAAAATCAACCAAAAAAATGAGTTCGCGTGTCACCTCTGACACACGTGTCATAGGTTCGCCATCACTGGCCTAGACATTGCACAGGTCGTCCGTCAGCCGCGGCCGTGTCCACCGTCTGAGATTCAGACGTAGCGGGGCCTGTGCTGCAGCTGGTGCCTGGCTCTGCCGGCGACGGGGAGAGGCGTTACCAAGTGCCCACGTGTCGGCACCGTTCCTGCCCCGCACGGCCCATCCCAGGGTTAGTCCTGCTCGCAGTCTTTCCTACGGATCGGAGAGAGATTTCGGTGTGAACCTGGGCCCCTCCACCAGACTGAACTCAGGGAAGTCTCGTGTTTAAGAGCGTGCACAAGAGGGGAAGCCCAGGCTTCCGAGTCAGGCTGACCTGGGGTGTGGCCTGGGGCGTGTGCCTGCCCCTCCCGGGGCCCCGTCTCCCTCTGAAAAATGAATCGGGGGGCACGTGGGTGACACTCTCCGTGAGGGTGTCCTCTCCCTTGTGCTGGCCAGCGGGGCGCCCGTCCCCAGGAGTAAGTGCCAGGGGTGGCCTCGCTGCCCGGGGGCGGGGCCCTGGGCGTGGGCAGCAGGGGTAGCCGCGGTGACAGGCCTGCCCGTGTGTGCGCAGGGGTGGACAGGTTCAGCAACGACATCCAGCAGCTGATGGGGTTCAAGCCCGCCTTACTTGACTTTGTTAAAGTTTTGACCCTACTTTCTTCTTATTAATTGAAACCCCCAACCTACCGAAATTCTCGTGGCTTGAGTGGGGTGGGGTAGGGGGCTCTGGTTCTTAAAAAGCGGTTCTGGGATACAGAACCCTCCCCCGGCAAGACACGGGGACGCTCCGGCCGCTGACACTGTGGGGACGCCCACCCCCGCGGGTCTCCAGCCTGGGCCAGGGCCCTGGTGGCTGTGTGCCCAGCCTGGCCCAGCTTCAAGGTCACCTTTCTTTCTCACACTCCTCCCTCCCATTTCTCCACTCCTCCCCTCCCTCCCTCTCTCCTGCTCCCCCCCCCACCCCCCCAGTTTGTGGTGGTGGTGAGCATCATCAACTTCAAGCCACTCACCTACGATGACTACATCTTCCCGCTCTGGGCCAACTGGGTCGGGTGGGGCGTCGCACTGTCCTCCATGGTCCTGGTGCCCGCCTACATCGTCTACAAGTTCCTGAGCACCCGGGGCTCCCTCTGGGAGGTGAGCTGGGGCCCGAGGGGCGGGGGGGCGCGGGGGACAGCATGGGAGGGGCATGGAGTCATTCCTGTCGGGGTGAGAGGGGAGACTAGGGTCAGACGGACCCCCCACGCTGGCCAGTTGGGTGTCCCCTTGAACCTCCATTTCCACACTGGCAACCTGGGGACAGTAATACGGATCCTGAAGGAAGAGAGAGTGCTTAGCACAGGGCCCGGCACAGGGCCGACATTCTACCCGTGTTCCCGGCCACCGTTCCTGTGGGACTTTAGGGCCAAGTAGCAGGTGGCCCTTATCTGGAGGTGAAAGGGGGGACGCTGGGCCCCGGGGAGGGTGTCCTGGGCCTAGCTGAGGCCGCCCCTTCTCCAACCTCTCCCAGAGACTGGCCTATGGCCTCACGCCGGAGAACGAGCATCACCTGGTGGCCCAGAGGGACGTCAGGCAGTTCCAGGTGGGTGAGCCGGACCTCTGGTGGTGGGGCCGCCGTGTGCTGGTTGCCCTGGGCAGGGCCCCACGCCAGAGTCCCAGAGCAGCAGCAGCGGGCCATGGCTCCCGGGGGTCTGGCGTTCGGTCGGGGTGGGGCTGTCCCCTGCCCCTGCCGGCTCCCGCTGGCCTCTGCATCTGGGTCCGGGCCTGCACCGGCCACAGCTCTGCTGAGCTCTATCTGCACTGAGTTGTCCCCCGGAAGAGTCACCAAGCTAGCTGAGGGTGTTGAAGGAAGCGCTGTGAGCACATCAGTGACGGGGTGACCTGAGCCCTACCTTTTCCCCCTCAGAAACGTGCCTGCCAGGGGCTGGGGAGGGCCCGGTGAGCTCCCTGCTGCAGACACGCTGTGTGACTTGGGGACGGCGCCTTCGCCCTTTCGGGGTGTTGGTGGCCATGAGGGGATCGGCCTGCATGTCCTCGGGGTCCTGGAGGGAAGGGGTGGTTCCTGCTTCCCCTGTGCTGCTCCCCAGCTGGCCCTGGGTGCTCCCCCCACCCCCGCCCGCCCCGGACAGACACTGAGGCCCGGTCTTTCCGCAGCTGCAGCACTGGCTGGCCATCTGAGCCCGCCCCCAGGAGGAGGGGGAGCCCCGCCCGCCAACGTCCAGGTCCAGGCGCCCACTTCGCCGCCACCCAGACGCTGTCCGCTGCCCGGGATCCCTCTCCCGG